TTTTTTCAGTGCGAGTCGTATAGGGGACATCTTAAGGAAGAGTTATGGCGACGAAGGGCTAAGTGGCCTGGGTCCAGAAACTGTGTGGGATGTTCTAGAAGGCGAGTGAAGAATCAGTTTTGATGCTCAACAATAAACATAATCAAGCACTCGTGTTTGCGGAAAGTGACGGGAACGAGCGTGTGAGAGGACGCACGCGCGAGAGAATTCGAAAGAAATCAGCAAAATTACCTCTGAACCTTCAAATTTTTTCTCTCAGATATGAGTTCTCGCTACTCTCGACCCACCAACATGGCCAGATTCTAGTGGATCCTTTAGTCTCTCAAGGGAATTTGATTGAATTCATACCCTCCTAGATTTTTAAACCAAACCTGCATGACTCTGTAAGCCTAAGGAAAGGAAATTGCATAAAATATCACGGAACGAGCGTGTGAAAGGACGCGCGCGAGAGATTTCGAAAGAAATCGGCAAAATTACCTCTGAACCTTCAGCTTTTTTCTCTTAGATATGAGTTCTCGCTACTCTCGACCTACCAACATGGCCAAACTCTAGTGGATCTTTTAGTCTCTCAAAGGAATTTGATTTTTAAACCAGACCTGCATGACTCTGTTAGCCTAAGGAAAGGAAATTGCATACAATTTTCCAAGTTCCAAGACCCCATGAATTGCAGAAAGACTTAATCCGATGATTTCCCTCCTCGAATAAAGTTGTTGCTTGAAATCTATTGCAAGTTATTCGAGAAATTCTTGGCTACTCTCAGAAACATAAGTTGAAGGGAGGGGGGGAGGGGAGGGAGGGGGAGTCAAACTGTAATTTGTCGCTTAACCACCAACAAATAAACAAACAAGTATAAAAGTTTCATCCTTAGTTTTTACACTTTGTTACTTATTTTTTAGAGTTCGTCGGGATGATGCGCAACCCTTCTGTGTCACAGGATTCCATTACAAAAGACACAGATCTGGTTAATGACGTGGATTAGATGTTCGTTTCAAGGTTCTGAAACCAAACGAGTAGTCACGGAAACAATTTATCCATTGAAGATTAACATGCTTGGGTCTGGCCTCTGACTTGAAAAGCGCAAGACACCAATTTATCGTCACCACGCGCTATGCTCTTCCATCTCGACCTCTTTGATTCGACGAAGTTGTCGGCTTCGCTAGCGAATGACGCTTGAGTTTGAATTCCATAAAGAAGACAAACTTAAGGGAGCTCTGACTCTTTCTATTAATAATTCGTTTAAGGTATAACTTAGTTTTTCTAAAGAAAATAGAGAAAAGGAGCTCGTTTAAAAGTTTGGTGAATTTTACATAAAGGAAAGAAACT